CGTTTAATCCAATTTATCCAGTTCGGTAATCCAGGTAAGATGCAGAATAAACACCTTTTCCCCGTAATTTGCGTATTTTGCACTGCACTTGGGGCCGCTAATTAAATTAAGCCAGCAATTAAATATTGGTTAACTTTGTCGTTGTGTTGGTAGTTGCTGTTTAGCTTGTTGTTGCACATTTCGCGTCGCGGCGGCTGCGCAGTCGGCGTCGAAAGAGAGCCAAGTGCACAGGGGAATGCGAATATTGTGGAGAAATCGCGAAATGAAAACAAAAAGCACTCTTTTTACAGGCTGCGATTGCGGTGCGAAGCGATCACAATAAAACACGGCACTTACGATCTCCGCACTTGTTGCAATTTAGATGGGGAAACTCGGCGATCGGAGAGCTCAAGAAACGCGAGCAACGCGCGCCTTCAACATTTTTTCACAGTGTGACCATCAACGGGAGGTGGAAAAACGTCGATGCCAACACGATATCATCGATGCCAACATCGATGCTTATATCGATGTTGCTGCCAAACATCGATGACACCGATGTTTTCACCTCTACAAATAAAATGTTAAGTCATCGTTTCCCTACAGAAATGTTAGAAAAATATTGACTTAACATTTCTGTTAGGAAATCGACGATTTTGAATTTTGGATTTCAATATATTAATAAAGCTGATCAGGTCCATGGATTCGGGCTCCATGATGAGTTCTGCCAAATTTCGATCAGAAAAAAAATGTTTTTCACTGTAGCCAATAAAAATAGCATAAATTAAAATTCAAGTTTAAAATTTTTGTCTTTATTAATTTATAATTTGTGAGCAAAATTTGTGTTGATGTTAACATTTACAAGGTTTCCGGTGGCAGCCTACATATTTGTATGATTGTTTTCCTGGCCTAACGCCGAAGTGGAATTCTGGCAAGGTAATATTCAAAATTTAATAATAAATCAGACCTGATCACGGTTAATAGCATTCTGTATATAAGATTACAAAGTTACTTGTTTTCTAGCAAAAAGAGTTTTATTCTATTTAATAAAATAAGTAGACTGGTGATGAAAAAATAGTATATCCAAGAGAGATAAGAAAAACAATAACTTAATTTTCAATCAAATCGAAAGCTCTTTATTCACCATCCATTCTATCAACCCTGCTGCTCACTTGATCGATCCCACAAGAACCCACAAAACGTATGCTGTTTTTTTAAGATATTTTTTATTCAAAACATCGATAAACGTTGATATTTACCGCCAAAAACATCGAAAACATCGACATTTGCACTGTGACCAAAGGAAAGCAGTGTGACCATTTGAAAAGGCTACACACAGAATTAAATAAGCAATTTCAATAACCATGGTTGAGAGATTCGCTAGCACAATAATTAACAGAGCACTTCTCTGTTAACTGTCAATGCAATGACATGGCCGTATACAAAATTCAAATAATTATAATTAAAAAATTCAAATAATTAACCAATCATTTTAAAGTTTGTCAAATTTCACTTGAAATAAACATTGGAATTAAGAGTGTTTTGGGCTAAAGAATTGTTGGTAAGTTTTGTATCGCTCTTAGCGCTAAAACCCCTACACTGATAACAATACATAGCATTAAATAATAATTTTTGGATCTAAACGTAAGATGATTTGGTAACCCATTTCGTTCATCATTTGAATAAGCTGGTAAAAGTTTAGAAGCAGGCACTATTAATTTCACTTCTAAAAACTGAATAAACTGTATAACTCCTGCTGGAAGATGAAATTTAAAATTTTAAAATAAGGCGGACTATCGCAATCCGTCAATGCAGTATTTCCAATACATTTCCAAACGGTCACTCTACTCTGTTCCCGATGTATTTGTTGCCTTTGAAGAACGTAAATAAATGATTGATATCAAAGCCAAATTGGTACGAGCGGACTCGGCCATCTACGCCACCGGCGAAAGAGTCGAGTGCCTGATTGAGTTCACCCACAGAGTGTTCCCGGATGAGCACACCGCATCCCAAAGCGGAAATGCCAACGAAGCAAGGTGAGTTGCACCTGCAGTGAAGCTTTGAACCTGCATTGACCACAAATATCCACTGAAATAGCCCGGAAAACCTCGCCTGGGCTTCGGCGCAGTTGCATTGCTACCGGAAGACCAGCTACTCACACTCATCCACCGGAGACAGGACGGCCGAACTCACCGAGATGATTGGGCGGACAGCCTTGGATGCGGTCACTCAGGCGCCCGGCGAGGTGATTGTGGCCACCAAACCCAAAATCCTCTTCTGCGACTTGCGCCTGCAGCGTGGAGAGACCAAGATGTGTGAGTATAGCGAGTATATATCGCTATATGTGTATATAATCTACAGAAATGTCTTTCAAATCTTAGCTACCCACTCAGCAAAAAGACTGTTGTCAAAATACATTACATTTTTCATAAACATTGACTAAATTTAAAACCATGAATTTGTTGAAAATAATTGCAAATGACTCAAACAAAGTTCGTTGTGCACGTTACAACTTTATCAAAATCGGTGTATTTATTACTCGATTAATCCTATGTAATTTCTTTAACTTTACGGAGTTGTTGAACAACCCACAAGAAATACGATTTGACCAAAGTATATGGATTATATTTGCTAGTCAAATATTGTTGTAGATTTAAGCGTTTATTATAACCCAAAGCAAACTTCCTCTTTTGTTTTAATTTGACTTGCATACTGTGAGGAGCAGATATTGTTAATTAATGTCTAACTAAATATTCTTGTAGATTTAAGCGTTTATCATAACCCAAAGCAAACTTCCTCTTTCGTTTTTGATTGACTTGTCCGTGAGGAGCAGATATTGTCAATTTAATGTCCAACTTGCCTAACTTTCTGTTAAAATTAAAAAAATTTAATTTAGAATAACTTAAATCAATCTATGTTGCAGATTTTTTTAACGAATTCGTGCCGCGCGATGGTCCACCAACATATAGAGGTCACAACATCCGGTACTTCTACAAGATCACCATTGCCACGCAACGGGTCAAATCGAAGGTTCAAACACTGACCGTTCCCATCCGTGTGCTGCCCATTCCCATAATTTCCCGGCCCGATGAACTGCCCGTAACTGTAGAGACCAACGAGGAGCTGGCACCCACTAATCCCTTCCTGGAGAAGCGCGAGATAAGCGAACTGGAGATATCCTGGCACCATCTGAAGGTTAGTAGGAAATAAGAATGTTAACTGAATGGAGTATTGATTAATTATTCGATAAGACTTTGTTTAAATGCTTTGCAAACTGTTTTGCATGTTATTTAGGCACTCAAAAAATGCACTATTTCAGTACGTTTGAGTTTAAATTATAAGCAAGTATATATTATTTTTAACAAGTTTGAATCAGTTTACGTGCCCTTTCTTCCACCAATTCAAAACTAAAAAACATTCAAAACATATAAAATCAAAATTCCAATTTTCACATATTTTTGAGACCAAATACTTCAATACATTTTTAAAAAAATATTGACTTATTGGAATTTTTCAGAACGTCACAGCTCGTAGGGCGCCCAAGTTCTATCGCATTTCAAATAAGCGTGGATTCGTCGGTCGCTTCTGCTTATTCAAGCCAGCCTACAAACTTGGCGAGGACATCGTGGGCAGCCTGGACTTTGGCCAGTGCCAGGTGCGCTGCGTCCAGTTCTCGGTGAAGCTGCAACAGCAGGAGCTTTCCATCCGGCCACAGCCCGTCCAGAACCAGCAGCTTCAATCCCAATCCCAATCCTCTGCGGGGGATGATGTCTCCTCGATGAACTCTTTTGACATGGCCAGCATAGCTAGCGGAGTGGTTGCCGATAACCTGCACAAATCGGCCACTTCTGGTAGCTCACGGGACAAGGACGCTCCCGAACCAACTGGGAAACTTTCGACCATTTCCACTTCCCATCAGGTGTGCTATGCCACGCTGCAGACCCAGGTGGTGGTGCCGATTCCGTTGCATGTAACACCCACCTTTCGAACGGATCTCGTCGACGTCCGGTGGCGATTGCACTTCGAGTTTGTAACCACCACGTTAATGGATTTTGGCATTCCGAATCCAGAGTTCGGCGAGTTGAAAGCACCTGCAGAGTTGCCTGTAGAAACGATGGTGTGGAACCTGCCGGTGACCATCTACGCGGCAAATCCCCTCCAGATATACTCCCCCAATCAGACCTTTAACATGCTCATCAAGTGATTTGAAAACTTGATTGCAATGTACAATAGGCTAAACAAATTTTAAGTAATCGCAAACACGGTGTTCTTGCAATTAACTGGTGTTTTCTTAAAGAGATATATAATATACAAAAATTCACCAGAAGATCATTTTATACATATGTAATGATGCTAAAAAAAATGTGATTATCTAATAAAAGTAAAAACTTTCCATTACACTAATCGAATTTTTAAAAGCGTTAAAATGAAATAAACCTAGTTTATTTCATAAATTTCAACAAAAGTGAAGTTCGGACTGAATGGTAGATTGAGCATTAACTCTAATAGAAACCCAAAAAAAAAGATAATTTTTGAAAAAATGTTCTGAGAAAACTATTAAATTTAATTATCTGATATTTCGTACACATATGATATTACAATTTATTTTAACTGTATTTTAGTAGGGAAAAATATTTTTTTGGAAAGGAGCTGTAGCTAATCTCTCAAAAAAGTCGATTTGCGTTGACTGGATCTTGATATTAAATTAAAAAATCAAACAGTTATCGTTTATGTATTAACGTTTTTTGACAAAATGTCGGTTGTTAAACAAAAAAAATATTTTTGTTCAAAGTATCGGACTTGAATTGCTAGACTAGACTTTTTTTGCAGGCCCAAAATGGGTATAATTTATGTGGTCATGGGTTTTTTCTCTGTACTACCAACATTACTGGGTGTTATTATTTTGCCCCTTTTCAGTGAGATAAAATTACCATAACCTGTTTAATCCCTACCGAACGAATGGTGATAGTTGTTGAACTTTGAAATTGGTAAATATTGTGGTAAACATTGCAAGCGGGAGCATCGATTGTGTTAGTACATTTAATAAGTGCTTATGTAATTACAGTTAAAACCGTGCAATAAACCCAGCTTAGCCTAGCGGTTAGAAGAGAGCCGTTGTACTGGGATACTAGTTGAACTTCACTTGTTGGCCAGAATCTCGAACTTCATGCCATGATCGTGTTTCTCCAATTCGCTTATGAGGCTGGTTCTGGAAAAAGCGGCAGCTGGAGCCAAAACTCCGCCATTGTTGGGCATCTTTTCGGATTCGCGCAGGATGGTGATTGCCGTAGAGAGCAGGGCCACGCAGGTTGCTCCATATCCAGGATTCATACCCGAAACACGTACCATTAGCGACTTGGTCGGAGGATCCGTATATTGGTCTGATCCCTCGGCCAGGCGATCGCCCTTGGGCCATCCAGTGGCTTTGAAAGTCATCCTGAAGTAGGTACGCTCCATTGACTGCTCACTTGGTCCGGAACGCGAGGCCAGGCCACCGGAGAACAGACCTGGGTACTTCAGCAGCAGCGTACGGCCAATCTTGAACTTCGAGAGCAGTCCAAAGATGCTGGCAAAAAGGATCACAGCGCCTGCGGCCAGCCAAGAGGGGAATCCCACGTAGGCCTGCATCTGCACGGGTCTCTTCTTGTCCTGGTCGTAGAGAAAGCGCTGGGATCGCATCACCACCGAGCGATCGGAGCCGGGGAAGGGTAGGCACACCTTGTCCACCTCGGTGGAGCGGAAGATGAGTGGTCGTGGCCTCAACACCGGATAGAACTTGGGCAACCTGAGGGGGAAGAGCTGCTGCCGAATGCCGCGCAGCTCATCCGAATGGGCCAGTCCATAGACGGCGCTCTCCCATGTGCCGTAATTCAAGCCAGCACTGCCTTCGCTCCCACTTCCAGTTGCGTCCTCCTTCATTCCACTTTCCAGGAACGTCTCCACGGAGTTCACAACGCCATCGAAGTTCTTCTCGACAAAGACGACGCCCATGTCGGCGGGAATGGAGTCGAAACCACAGGCACTGACCACATACACTCCCTTTTCCTTGGCCCGCTGGTCGTACTTCAGCTGCATGGTCTCCATGTACTGCGGCTCCCCGCTGACGTCCACATGATGGGTGCCCGATTCGATGCAGGCCTTTACCACCTTCTCGCCGTGGAATCGATATGGCCCCGCTGTGTTCACCACAATCCTGCACTTCCTGGCCATTTCCAACAGGGAAGCCTCGTCGCTGGTGTCCGCTATAAAGATGGGCACCTGCGACAAGTCCTTTTTGGCCTTTGTGCCCATCTCCTTCAGGACGCCCTCCAGTTTTTCACGGTTCCTGCCCGCGATGCCCCATCGCAGACCGCCAAGTACGGTGACTGCCTCGAAAACCGTGTACTTGCCAGTGAAGCCACTGGCGCCAAAGATAATCACATCCAGTCGATCGGCAGACATTTCACCAGAGATCGTTCCAAAGATTCGTTATCAGATTCTCCCGCCTTTCCTGATATTGCCTCCTGTGAGTGAGTACAAAATGATTCACTATGCTATACATTATATACTAGCAGAGATAAACTTCCGCACCTGAATCGCAGTCTATTGGTTCCGGCTGGTGAGCTGTTAATCGGCGTACTTACTCCATATATATCATATATATGGAAAACGCAAAATCGAACCGGCCAAAGTCGAAGCTTAAATGTCAGTGTGACCGTGCTTGAAAAGTTGATCTATACCGGCATCGCTGAAATTTACTAGGGGTATTTGTAAAAGTGCCTAATAGCCGAATCCCACTGGCAAATGATTTCGCGTCATGTCATAAAGCTAAATGCCGCATTTAAAATAAATGCGATTATTAAATGCGATTAAAAACCATTCGCCCCGAACTATTTTAGCAAAAATACCGGAAAATACCGATGTTTAACGATATTTTGTTCGTGCCACCACTACAACAGCTGCTTTCTATATGCAAGGTTGGCGCAATTTTTGGTGTCTTTTGAATATAAAATCTATTTTGTATAATAATTTCTGAAACCTAGAGCGCACGCTGCAAATTCTGCTAGTAGTACCACAATGCATCACTGCTTGATCTCTGGCATAAAATAACTCCCACTCACACACTTTTTAGAAAGTGTGTCCATTGCAAACCCGTCATAACAACGCAATCAGCTTCTCTTCCTTGTTGTCCAAGTTGGCAAATGCCTCGGTCGCAGTATAAATGTCCTGCTGAGCATTACAGAGTTTAGTAAACTCACTCATGCCAAAATCCAAAAGTAAACAAGCCCAGATCAGCTGTTCGTGCCACTCACATGTCGGAGTAGCATTAGCTAAATGCTAATGCGCCAATGGAATCAGGCACATTTAGCTGATGGTGTTTTTTGACGGGTTAGCAATGGACACCAACACAGTTTCTAAAAAGGACAAGCATCACCGTATGTGTAGGAGTTATAGCCTGCCAGAGATTCAGCAGTAATGCATTGCGGTAGTGCGAGCAGAATTTGCAGCGTGCGCTCATGTTTTCAGTCATTTTCATACAAAATAGATTTTATATTTGAAAGCAATCAAAAATTGCGCCAGTCTTGCATGAATATCGAAGAGCTGAGCTCACAAGGATGTAAAAACATGTTTCGTAAAGTCAAATTTAATTATTTTAAGCATGAATCTCAGAAAGTAAAAGCTCGGATCAGATAAATTCAAGTAATAAGTATTTCAGATTGACCATATGTACTAAAGTAATAACAATCCAGTTATTTATACAAATGTAACTGAGCTTTTGCGGTAAAGCATTTGGAGTTCACTGAGACAGATCAATCACCCCAAAATGCTGGGAAGGTAAGAGACTTCCTGAAGTACTTGGATAAGTATAAAACGTAAAGGTCCATGTCAGACACAAGTATTCAGTTGCATACACTCAAAAATGATGCTGCATTTACTCTTATTGATTGGACTCCTCGGATCGATCCAATCCCAAGTACTTCTTCCAGGACTTCGAGTTCTTCGGGTTCCTGTGCTTGACAAAGGCCAAATTCAAGTGGTGGAGTTTCTGGACGCCGCCTCCACAGTTACCCCTGAAACAGTGAGGGATCAATTCAGTAGGCGATTTATGACGCTGGCTAAACCTTTAATTGCTGGAGCTGCTCCTCAAACAAGTCTTCCAAACATCAAGCCTACATTAAACTCTTAAAAATGTTCAGCTGAAGACTTTTATAACACTAATTAAGCTGCTTAACTACATTAATAAATAGCATATGTCATTGATTACATTACTTTCAGGTTTAAACAGCTTTTGTTAACCGGAATTAAATCAGGTTCCGTTTTGGGCGGAAAAAGCTTGGTCGAAAAGCAAGCAGCACTGTTATAATACCAGTTACTTGTGGAGTAAAATACAATAATTCGTTGAAAAGTATGTTAGAAATAAGCGTTTTCGACCCTATATAGTATATATGTAATATTTTTGATCAGAATCGTTAGCCGAGTCGATCTGGTCATGCCTGTCTGTCTGTCCTTCCGTATGAACTGTGAGATCTTGGAAGCTATAAGAGTTTGATATATAGTATTGTGCCCACAACCACGGCATGTCACTCTTAAACTTTGTAGAGGCCAGTTGTTATCCGGTGTATGTTATGTTCGGTCATATCTTTCGGGATACCTAATAAATATTTAAAACGTATAATTATTTTAGAAGTTAATAGCAAAAACCTTACTGTTTATATATTTGAAAAAAAAAACAAGGTGTGCCAATTCGGAAGATGGCTCCACCTTAAACCCGGCTGTTATCTGGGGGCGTACTTATTTTGAGTAACGGGAAATAGGGGCAATCATATATACATTGTACACACAACTTCATTTCTTGTACAGAGGTGTTAATGTGTGGATCATATATGTAAATAGTCCGATTTTAGGCCTAGCTCCTTGGGTTTTTATCCTTTAAATTAATTTTGATAATTAAGTCTTATTTAAAATTTACGTTTGTCATATTTTCGATTTTGCTGCATAAAGAAACATAGTTCGTTTGTTTTCACTCTTCTCGAATGTTTTTATTCGGTTTCAAAATTTTAAAACTCAACTATTATTTGTGGTCCCTGCACAAAAGTATTGACTCGATTTCAAACGAATTGCAACATAAAGAAAAAAATTAAACGGTTATTTCCCCAAACTTGCAGTTTGCTGATGAGAGAGGTAAATAGGTGCAGAAAGAATACATGCAAGAATACCGTTGTTTTATCATATCGCTTTAAATTATAGACAATTGTAAAACAGTGTACAGGGTGTCCTATTCAAGTGATGAGAAGTGTATCTTGAAAACTTTTGAATGACAGCAGGTAAAAAACAAGCGGTAAAATCTCTGTATTAGGTCGAGACGCAGTAAAAGAGTCAACGTGTAAACAGGGCATTACAAAAGCTTAAAATTGAAAACTAAGTCCGATATAATCCATACATTTGTAAATAATTTATTTAAGTTGGTAAGCTGTTTATCAAATTTTGATGGTTTGAGGAATACCCTAAATGTAAGCAGAATGTCAAATTATGTGTCAGTGAGAACAACCTGACTTGGAACATCGTAAAAATAATATCGCTGCGTCTATGTCATCTCTAGGCTTCTTCCATCTCTAAGTAATAGTCATTGAAAAATAAAGTCGCAAAATTATAATAGTTGGAGAGTCGACTTAATCTCAGTCAGACAGCGATAATGTACCAGGAATACATGAACCAATTGCAGGCGTCCCTTACGCCAATGGGCTCCGATGAACTGAAGGAGCTGCTGAACAACGACGACAAGCTAGACGAGAAGGTGGACGAGGTGCTCCAAGTGCTGCGAAACCAGAAGACCAGCGTTTTCGAGGACAATCGGAGTCGAGCCGAGCGAAACATAGAGCGGGAGCCGCAGATCATAGAGCTGCGTGGCCGCCTGGCGGAACTGTCGGACGAGGGACGCACTCGTTGCTCCTCCGTCCAGGAAAAGCTCTCCGAGCTCAAGGAGAAGTCAGGCGTAGTGGGTCCGGAAACGGCCTTGGCCCTGCTGCAGACTGCCGCCTCCGAGAGCGAGGAGCAGACCGAGGAGATGGTCAAGAAGTTCAACGACAGCGACCTGGGGGTGGAGGCCTTCCTGGAGGAGTTCCTCGCCAGCCGACGCACCATGCACCTGCGTCGCCTCAAGGCCGAAAAAATGCAGGACCTTATGCGCAAACAGCGCCAGGGTCCACCGCCCAACTCATCTCTGCCAACCTATGGAAATTTGCCCTCTGGCGGATTCTATCCCTCAGCAGGCGGCTCCGCTCCGTATCCCATGATGGGTCCTCTGATGCCCATGCCCCCACCGACTAGACCCTACTGAGATCTCGGCCTTTGTTCGTAGCGTATTCAACTGCCATGGCGCATCAACCTTCTGCAGGCGAGTTTATATCTATATATATCAGTTTTAAGTGTAATAAATATTGGGTGACTTATCAGGACAGCTTCAGGTTTTCTTTTTATAAATCGGCATCCCTATAAAAGATAAATGCAGCTACATTTCCTTTAAGATAAACAAATAAGTTAGTTGGCAAAGCCGCACATTAAATTAGAAAATTTTAGCCTGATCGTTAAAATGCCAGCTACAGGATATGACAAAAAATAAATAGAATTTGCCGGAAGCACCCAAAAATTCACAAAACTTTACTCACATATATAGTTAAAAACTGTGTTTATTGTTTAAAATTTCAGAATCCTCACTTTAAGTACATATTGCTTCAGTTTCTTCTTCTGATTACAGTGGGTTAATTGCAAATCAGAGGGAACGTTTTGCCTGCTTTAAAATTAACGTTTGAGGTGCTCTACATCTCTGCCTGCACTAAACTATGATATATGTATATGTATAAGTTAAGCGAAAATTAACATTAATATTAGACAGTGAACATTTCTTGTTAAAAATAAATTTTTTGGATAAAAAAATGAAACGATTTGGAGTGTGCATATCGTGGGAGTGTGGGGCCAAGGCTAGGCGGCGATTAAAGCGTTTCCTTATTGCATATAGAGTGTGATTGTGGATTAACGATTAGTTGGAAGGATTGTGCTTGATGGAGTGTGTGGGTTTGTTTGTTATTGCCTATACATATCTCGACTTCGATTCAATTTCAGTTTTGCATTTGTGTTTGTTTTCTCTTTGAGAGCGGTTAGTCTTTTAGAATTCCAACGGCCTCCGGTTCAATATATATATGTAAATATATAGATTGATTGTATCGTATATGCAAAATGTTATATATAAAATATGTTCAACTCTTCCGTTCGACTTGGATCGGCTCGGTTCTCACTTTAAAAGCTTAAAGACTTAAGCGCATATCTAGGGGCTATTCAAAAATATATTCCTACAACTGCTAGCCATTCGCGTGGGCAACGCCATCATGACGAGCCGAACTCCTTCATCCACTTCTCATATTTGTCCAGGTCCGCCCGGGACACGCTCTTGTTGCAGCGACTCATGGCCTCGTTGAAGTCCTTGTTGGACACGGGCAGGTCCACCTCCTCGGTGGCCAACTGTCGGATCTGCTCTGGAGTCAACCCGGCGATCTTCCGCCGCATGGACATCATGCTGGCTTCCCTGTAAGAGAAGAGTAATTTGTAGTAGTTATTAAGTTCAATCAATAAAATGTTTAGTAAATTAATTAAATTTGTAATAAAAATAATCTAAAACAATCATAAAGTTATTCGAATTATAAAAAATGATAAGAGGAAATAAATTTTTAGGAATGAACTTCTGTTTTAGAAGTTTTTAGTATCTCGGCCGATTGATGTTATGTTTTACCACTAACCATACAACATATAGACTGGTCATTTCATACGACGCATTTGGACACAAAAAAACGGACCGCGGAAGGTCCACCGCTCTCACAGCAGCAGGTCCATGCACTTCGTGTGCGTTCGGGTTTTTTACTCTCTCATTCTTATTCTCATTTTTATGCTCGCGCACTCATTGCACGAGTTCAGTCGTTCAGTCGCAGAGAGGCGCTTTTTGAAGAAGGCTGCCCTGCGCTTGAATTCGTCTTTGTATGTATGCGTGATCATGCATTCTCATACACGGGAGCATGTGTGCGTTTATTTCATTTCGGCGCATCAAGAATATTTTGTCTTTTGCCACTTTTCAAACTTGGTACCCTAAGAATATGGGCGTATTTACTATTGGGTTATGATATAAATATTAATATTATATGTTACAATATATTTTTTTAATATTTCAGCATACATTTTATTTTTGTTTACAAATTCAAATCAGTGGTAGCAGTAAAATGTTTTACATATATGTATGTATTCGAATTTATAGAAATCAGTCCACTGAGATGGGAACAGGGCATATCGCAGTCGTGTCACTTGAAACACTGCTCTTCAGTGGTTGAGAAAACTTCAAACTAAATCAGTTCTTGTCGATGTTTTGCGAGCGGTTGGTGCCTGCATACCCTACCGACCGGCTTTTAGGACACTTGTTTTAAATGTTATGTTTAGTGATCTTTGGTTGATTTATTTTTTAATGATTCGCAGTGTTATTTTAATTGTCTTTAAACAATTCGTTAAAATTCAAGATATTGGTACAATTAAAATCTAAAATTATAATCATTAAAATAAATTATTATCATTAAAAAAATGTGGATTTTTATATTTGTTCCATTTACATTTTCAAAAATATAAAAAGTATTTTATTATTTATTACTTGTTTAAAGACAATTAAAATAACACTGCGAATCATTAAAAAATAAATCAACCAAAGATCACTAAACATAACATTTAAAACAAGTGTCCTAAAAGCCGGTCGGTAGGGTATGCAGGCACCAACCGCTCGCAAAACATCGACAAGAACTGATTTAGTTTGAAGTTTTCTCAACCACTGAAGAGCAGTGTTTCAAGTGACACGACTGCGATATGCCCTGTTCCCATCTCAGTGGACTGATTTCTATAAATTCGAATACATACATATATGTAAAACATTTTACTGCTACCACTGATTTGAATTTGTAAACAAAAATAAAATGTATGCTGAAATATTAAAAAAATATATTGTAACATATAATATTAATATTTATATCATAACCCAATAGTAAATACGCCCATATTCTTAGGGTACCAAGTTTGAAAAGTGGCAAAAGACAAAATATTCTTGATGCGCCGAAATGAAATAAACGCACACATGCTCCCGTGTATGAGAATGCATGATCACGCATACATACAAAGACGAATTCAAGCGCAGGGCAGCCTTCTTCAAAAAGCGCCTCTCTGCGACTGAACGACTGAACTCGTGCAATGAGTGCGCGAGCATAAAAATGAGAATAAGAATGAGAGAGTAAAAAACCCGAACGCACACGAAGTGCATGGACCTGCTGCTGTGAGAGCGGTGGACCTTCCGCGGTCCGTTTTTTTGTGTCCAAATGCGTCGTATGAAATGACCAGTCTATATGTTGTATGGTTAGTGGTTTTACAGACTAAGGCTAAGAGTAAGTTTCAACTTTAGAAATTATATAATACAATATTCCTAAATAATTTAGTTGGTTTTTTTTTTACAACAATGATTAGACAAAGATAAATCCGCAAGAGTCTGTTTAACCCACCTGCACACGTTTGTAATGTCAGCTCCGGAATATCCCTTTAGCTCGTTGGCTACGTAAGTAAGATCAACGCTATCGTCCACCTTGACCTCGCGCAGATTGATCTTTAGCAGCGCCTCGCGTCCTTCGTCCGATGGCAGTGGGATGTAAATGCGCTTCTCCAGCCGGCGTCGCAGCGCTTCATCGATGTCCCAGGGAAAGTTGGTAGCAGCCAGCACCATCACCACCTTGGCTTGTTCCTCTCCGCCACCCACACCGTCCATTTGGACTAGCAGCTCGGACTTGACGCGGCGCGAGGCCTCGTGCTCCGACTCCGATCCTCGACGGGAGCACAGGGAATCGATCTCATCGATGAAGATTGTGCTGGGCGCATAGAAACGCGCCATCTCAAACAGCAGGCGCACCATCTTCTCTGATTCACCGCGGTACTTGGATGTGAGGGTCGCCGAGCTCACGTTGAAGAAGGTCGTCCCGCATTCGGTGGCCACCGCCTTGGCGAGCATTGTCTTGCCTGTACCGGGGGGTCCCACCATCAGAACTCCCTTCCAGGGTCGCCGAATTCCCTGTTTGAAGGATACAAAATTTAAATGAAATACATTTTAAAATCGTTATCATATTATTTAAGAGATAAGTTTGTAACGTCTGGATTAAACTCCAACAAATTTGAAATCGATAAAATGTATTCTTTAGGAAATTTCACTCACGTCTTTTAGTGCACTACTTTTGTAAACCAATCTATAAAAAACACATTTAAGAAGACAACAGTCGAGTGTAACAATTTAAAAGGTCTACGGATCCAAGTCTTTGGATTGACTCGAAAACTAAATCACCAACTCGTAGTCTCGTAAGTCATATAGAAATTTTTAAGAAATATAAGGCCATATTTGGTTATGACAACAAGGAGTCATATTATGATCCCATACTGGAAGAAATTGGTAAAATTTGTTGCTTTTAGACTATGACAAGTTTTCTTTGAGCCTTGATACTCTATTGACTATTTCTAAATCTCTCACTCGCTTAGACATTTGCTTGTTAAATTAATTCAAGTGATATAACATGACTCATTTGTCAATTTAAAAACAAAGTGCAGGTTTCCTATACAGATTACGTTTTAGTCATTTGAGAAACAAAATTATTTTAGTAACTCATCTTGTTTATCTCTAAAATAAAAGTCCAGACCGAATATTAGGTAATTATGCATCTAATTCAAAGAAAGTAATCTCGTCATTGATAAATATAGACATGTTTGCTTGACAGTCCATTATAAATTAGTTAAATTTGACCGCACACATTTACAGATAAGATAACAAGCATACATATAAAATCATAATCAACTTAATTCTGCAATGGAAACTTCAAGCCTCAATACTGATGACCAGACAATTCTAAATAGTAATAGACTGACAAAGGCGTTGCACATAGAAAGTTAGTATTACCTAGCTACTATTGATATAGCTGCGAGACGGTGCATTTTAGCTTAAACAGTTGACTTAATAATATATGAAGCCCAGAGCCCTGCAAACACAATACTCAAATGAAGCGCGTTTGTTGACCCAACACCGTGCTCACCGTAGATAAGCCTCAGGCGGAAAATGATTCAGAGTAAACAATAACAAAAAAAAACGACGATGACGCACCTTGAAGTAGTCCGGCATGAGCATGGGCAGCACAACGGCCTCCTCCAGCAGCCGCTTGGCGTCGTGCAGGTCGGCAATGTCGTTCCAGCGCACTTTGGGATCCTTTTGAAGAATATCACGTTCTGCAAAGAGGGGGATACGATAAGTTTTAAAGCAAGTGTTGAGAACTAAACAAGCAGAATCGCAGAAATTTTTTACAAATTTAAAGTAGCGGAAATAAAATATTGTCATTGGCTTTACAGAAAAGGTTTTAAAATTAATTAATAAAATATTTTTACAGGCTTTACAGAAATGGTTTCAAAAGTTTAATAGAGTTCTCATTGAATTTTCATGGAATTTTCTATGACACTGATGGGTTTCATATGCGTTATTTTGTAATACTTCAAAATAAATTATTGTAACTTTAAGTTTAAATGTTTCCCTAACATCAGACATTATATCACTAACGTATGCCGCTTACCAAGAATGTCGACTAGCTCGGCTTCGATGTGGTTGTTGGGCTGGAACTTGCGCTCCTCCTCCTGGGCAGCCTGCTGATCCCCGTTCTCCCCTTCGCCGGCGGCTCCACCGCCATTGCTGCCTGCAGCAGTGGAGTCGTCGTCTCTAGCCTCGTTGGTGTTGTTCGATGTGGACAGCTTGCGTCCGCCCACACGTCCGTTGGAGGTGCGTGCTCCACTGTTCGGTGCTGCGGCAGACGCCGAGTTGCGGGAGTTGCGTGTCGAGGCCGCACCATTCCGGGCAGTGCTCTGTGGGATTGTGCTGTTGGGGCGGCTGTTCTGAGTGGCCGGAGCGGTGCGGCGATTGTTCGGTGCGGCACGCCGTCCCACGGCCTGGGTGGTGGGTGGTGGTTTCGGCGGACCCCACACATCGGGATCCTTGGGCGGTGGCGTCCAAATGTCGGGGTCCGGTTTAAACCAGGCGGATGGATCTTTACTGGTGGTGCTCTCCTCGCTAAGCTGGTGGCGGAGCTTGTGGGCGAATTTGGTGCTCTGCAGGTCCAGCGAGATGTCTTGTAGCGTGCGCTGGATGGCCTTGATCTTGGCGTGTTCTTGGCTGATTTGCTGGTTGATCTGTGAATTGATGACAATTTAGTATCTAGTTGTAAGTGTATTGCAAAAATCTTAGTAAGACTATATTACATATTATTGAGTTTACTGTAATTTGTATTCATATATTTTGGATTGTGATCTGTATTATACCTTAAAGTCGGGTTTGTATTTTAGACCATATTAAACCGACATATAAGTGTCCGTCTCCCCAAATCCTCGCATTTTTGTCGCATAATTTATACGGTTGAAATAGTGTTTTTTATGTATACGCACATTAAAAAAAAACATTTTTTTGTATCCACGAAAAATAGCATAAACCTGTTGCTTAAACAAAATTTAAACATCGCCAACTCAAACCATAATATAAAAAAAAAAAAAATTTGACGTCATAATAAACTGATAAGTGATCTTATAACTTCTATAAATGTATCCACAAAATTACTTTTATAATAATTATTGTAAAGAGTTTTTTAAATCGTGCTTAGTTTTGCTCAAATCGTGTGACACACTACATCCTTAAACTGATTTAGAACAATAGGGTATGCGTATGATTGTCTTGGCTTGGAGTTGATGACATTAAAGCGTGTGTTTATGTACTTGTTCTACCGTTTACGATCTATATTTGGACGTATGATGTTCCACTTTCTAAAGCAGTAGTGGACAGCACTAGCTAATGGTGATAAGGAATGGGAATGTTCTGTTTTTTTGTAAATATATTCAGTGACATTTATAAGATATCTTTTTAGCTTTTCTTCGTCCGGATGACTATATCTTATAGGTGACTAAGCAGACAGCTTTGCCTTATCAAGGGTCAACAAACTTTTATGTCCTAAGAAGGCTGTTGAAGATTTATGAACGTCCCAGTTTCGAATGGGATGGAATTAAGGATAATCTTACCATGCTCCACTTGCCCTTACGCAGCGGATCCGCAGTGGCCTTAAGCTGGCGGGCGAGCAGCCCCTGGAGGCCCTCATAGTAGATGCACGCCGAGTCGTAGTTGCCCGTCAGAGCCATGTCCCGCGCTAATTTGGCATTCTCGCATATTTCTTCGATCGTAGTCTTGGCCATTACGGTCATTCCTACGCAAGTGGTTGTCTTTTGCTTGCCACCTCGCAGTAACTGGCGATCCAAACATCGGAACATCGGAACAGGTTGTCGTCATTGTGGCCAAAAACGAGATACAGAGATTAGTTCCAATTAAAGCGTTCGAGTGCGTAAGTTTCGCTCTTTTAAGTGTGAGTGGCGACGGGAACAATAGAACGGAAGCGACTTCGTCACTCGCTCGCCTTGCAGGTGAAAATGGAAAGTGAGCCTCAAAAGCAACAAAAAAAAAAAAAAAGGAGGCAAACCAGGCGACAATTGCAAATAATAGAATATACCAGTGGAAACGACCCAAGTGCGTTGCTAATTATAAATTATAAGGCACACAGCCGTCTAGTTGACACCAAATTTAAACGCAACGCGCTCCCATTTCCATTTCCAATACCAATTCCGCTTCCAAGGCGGGACGTGGGCCAAAATGCCGATTGGAAAATGTATTAAATTATTTTGAGCCAAATAAGGAGCCCGACCTTGTTGGCTTTGAATAATTCTTTCAACTCGAATCGTCGTATGCAAAAAACAAAAAAAAAAAATCCATGATAAAACAACAACAAAATTAACGCTCGCGCACACACACACACACACACACGCACACAGAGCTCAGGTTTCAGCGGCATACATTCACACACACGCTCGCACAATGGGACAAATTAAGGTGATTTAAATAGAATCCGAATTAATTGCAAGCCTCTGGAAACTGGGAACTGCACTTTTGCATTCGGTTACATTTTCGTTTCTTTTTTTTTTTAATTCCAGCTACGTGGGGGCGTCTGCAGCTGCAGCAACAACAACGCTGACGTCTCGCATCCGCAGCAACTTGCGACGACACCTGAACGAAACGCACGGCGGGCGACTTACGGTTATGGACATTAGTGTACTAGCTTTGTTACGCGGCGTTCCAAGCGCAAAATTAATGCGAAACTTATTTAGTTTTGAGTTAAAGGCGCTGCGGTAGCTAAAATAAACTGCTGCTGCCTGTGTTTGTAATACTAGTGGTGTGCGTGTGCTAGTGGCGAGCGGCTTTTCGATATATCGGCTAACTGAGCCCGACCAATTGGCACCCTGTTGCGTTTGGTGCAACAGTCGGCGGATATCGATAGTTTCCAGGGGTGCGTAAAACTAAGGGGGCTATTTTAATAGAGAAATTAAACTGGGAAGTACGTCTTCAAAGATTCTGACGGATGAATAAATAACAAAGGTAAAGCACAATATTTTTATGTTACAAAAATTAAGTTTGAAATATACAGTTTACATATTTTATACATATTGGAACTTGGCGCTACTTTATCTCAAGAAAGTTTCAAACTGCAAGCTTTTTGTAAAATATTTGTTTAATAATAATTAATATTTTTTTTTTAAATATGTTTAAAAACTGGAAAATCGTGGAGGACATATAGTTTATTTTATACCTAAATTGAAAAATAAATATATATATTTTTTTAATTTTTAGAAGAAAAACGGAACACATTCTTAAGCGTTTTTAATATAGAACTGTAATAAGGGAATGTATTATCTAATATTTATTGCTGATTTCAGTTACTTAATAGTAGGTCCAGAAATCAGTTTCGAGCAATTTTATATTTTAAGACACAAAAAGTCTGATATTCCTAAAAAAAATAACATAAATTTGTAAATTTGTAATTTAAAACGTATGTATATAATGATAAACTTTGGTCTCAGACCCACATACATATACTTTCGATTTAAAATTAATGCAATAAACAGTAAACTAAAATAAACGAGATAGTTTGGGCAATAACAAAGTGATTTTTTAGGACTTCCCAAGATTTCCATTTGGTTTTCGGAACAAGAGGGCATTCTGGGTTTATTCCAACCTCCTCCTTTTGGCCTTGGGTGGTCCGAGATATTCGTGCCTGCGATTGGCTCTTTCTCCAGTGTCACCACGACTATTTCCTGGTTCAGGTCGTGAACTGTCACCGTCTTGTCTTGAGTCAGGTCCTTCGTCCCACTCCAAGGCCTCTCCCCACGGCGCCACCATGTGCTCGATGGTGGACAAAATGGTAGTGCTGCCGGGCTTGATAATCAGCGGAAAGGCTTGAACCGGAGTTTTCTTTTTAAGGACACGCTCTTCCCAGTAAACCGAGAAGTCTGAGCGAATGATGCACAGACACACATTGTTACCGGACTGCAGGTCGTTGTCCACGCCGACGGTTACGGCATCGCGGACCAGATCGCGGGCGGATTCCTCATCCAGATCCTCTTCCCAGCGCGCTTCCAGTACGGACATGGCTGCCATACAGCCGGTACCCAGCGATGTGAACGGCACGGTGTCTGTAGTGCCATCGGACCGGGTGCAAAATAAATGTGTTTTGAAATCTGCATCCACGCCCCCGATGATCACATTGGCCACCATTTTTCCATCGAAGCGGTAGAGCAGCTGCCTCATCACTTGGTTGGCGCAGCGCACCGGCACCTTGCGGAATCCGGTGTTCATGCGGTGGAGCTCCAGCTGCGCCCTCGTCACCTCCATCAAGGCAGCCGAGTCCTGTGCGATTCCGGCAACACCGGCACTTGTAAATAATAAATTGTTAACAAAATCTAGAATACAATAATGCGCTTCCGAAAAGCGCGACCTTCGATTTTTTTAATTTTTTAGAATCCATGTATTTAAGGCACTGATAATTGGTAAAACTTGAAAAATAAAAATAAACGCTATTTTTTATTTTCGTATTTATTTTTTTAAAGTAAGACTTTTACCAAAAATATTTTTAAAGCAAAGTTTTAGATCTAGTTTAAATACACATTTTATGTTATGATTTTGCGTAAAGTTCATTGGTCACGAGAAAAATTTAAAAAACTTTTGCCTGCTGTCATTTTTAAATAAGCGCTCCATGACGATTTGGCATAGCTCTTCCAAAATTATGAATAAAATACAAAAAAAACGGTTTTAAACGTTTGCCAATTCATTCTTAATTAGGACCACAACCACATGAATCCTTAAATTCGACGCGATCGGAGGTCGGAGTTTTTTTGGAAGTGCAACCGAGCGTTGCATTTATCAACATTGTCTTTAACATTTTCGAAATATGGTTTTCAATTTCTTAATTGTGTCACAATATAAAGTCATAAGATTCGATTCTCAAACTGTAAGTCAATACAATATAATACAGTCACTAAGTCAAAAGAGTCGAATGTTTCAAATTTATAGGGTAAAATCAGATACTAAAGTCAATGTTGATTTAAACAGCGCTTTGAACACAAGCCTTTAATCGAAAATATACCTACAATATGTTGCTCTGCAGCTGGTAAATTTTGCGATTTTTTTTCGAAGGTATTATGTGTCCGCTAGTAACCCTAGAATCCGCGCCAATGATCACGCCTCCGTCATAAATGACCCCCGCAACGGTCGTGCCGGTGCCAATGCAATTCGGCAACGAAATACCGTTTTTAATAAGTCCTTTGTTGCTGTAAAAACGAATTAATTGGATCTTAATAAAGTATTTAAGGCCTTAACATTTTTTTTCAAAATTGATATTTTTACAGCCTAGCAGATATTATATTATAACTTCAGTCAGTAGTTTGCAACGCAGTGAAGGGTACTTTTTCCAGCCCTATAATTTATATATATTCTTGATCAGCATCACTAGGATAGTGAATTTATGGTCGTCTGTCTGTCCGTCCGATTCCACGGAATCGTGCTATATGCATGAAACTTTCCCAAAACTTGTGTTTCCATTGCAGTTAGTATATATTTCGGAACGAGCCCGATCGGACGACTTTACCATATAGCTCACAAAGAAACGGAAAACAAATTTTAACTTTGCTGTTTGTTAATATCATATAGCTACCATGGACACAATTGTAATATAAAAAAGAAAGTAAATTAAAAAAAAATTCGAACTTCTCTAAATTCAAATTTTGTTTATTGTTTGGACATATTAATGATTTAATAATTTAGATTTACGCTGCTTATTGTATTGAAATCTTTTAATACATTACACCATCATTAAAAATAAATTGGAGTTATTAAGAAAAAAATTTTAGAATTTAAAAATAAATCTAATTAACTTCATATAAATTGTTTTTTCATTTAAAATACAAACATGTTACTCACCGCAAACAATTGTCGAAACTAAAGCCACTAGGTCCGCACTGATATGGCGATCGGGCTGCATATTTCATCATCGTTGGTATTCCATTAAACATTATGTTTCTTTTCTCCACTTGAAAATAATAAATATATTTATATTTATTTGTGTTTTTTTTATTGTTATGAATGTTTTTGCACAACCCACTTGATCTCCATTACTGGGCAAAATAAAACCACCAATGCTCACAATTAGAATGATGATTAAATCAATTGTTCCAAGTTATTATTTCCTTGCAGAGGAATTATAATTTCAGTTTGCATGGCAGTGAAGACCGACAATGGCGTATTTACCAGAAAAACATGATCACTGATCAATGATGGATCAGTAATCAGTGATCAAGTTTGTTCTGTTGTACGCTTATGATGCACCCAGCTTTAATATTCCTGATCCATTTGGATGCCATTTTTGTTGAATGCGTTCCAAAATATAGTTGAAAACATTTATAAAGATTGGAATTTATAATTTTACATTATTAAATAAGCATTTACAGTATTAATATTGACTTAATATACTTGCAAGATGGCGGGTTAAATTAAAATTTTTTCCGATTGTCAAGAAGCCCTGCTCACTGACAGTAAGACCGCAGCACATACATATAGCCTAAAGCCTAGTACTCTTTTCCAGTTCAAAACAATTTAAATACCCTTAACTGTTTTTTTTTCGAAATACCATTACCTGACTGCTAATTACCTAGAGCGGTTTAATCAGGTTACCCTAGATAGCAATGTACGTTTTATATCAAATTCCAGAAATTCCAAAATAGCTATTTTATCGCTAAAAAAACAAGATAGCTGCACTGACCCGAAAATGGTCCGGCAACGCTGCACTATAGATAAGGCCCATACGGCAAGTCATCGGTTATCGGTTCTTAACATTTCGGCTTAACGTGCTTAAACACATATTAAATTTAGACACCACGCAAGCGACGGCGCCCAAAATGACAACGCCCACGCGTGCCACCCTGGAGAAGGCTCTGAAGAGCGATAAGAAGCTGGTGAAGGCCGCCACCCAGATAGCCCAGGGCAGGTTCCAACCCGCATCCCCGACAGACCGACCGACCGACAGTTCTCACTGAGATTCCTTTGTTTTCTTTTTTTTAGATTTGGCCTCCAAGGCCTACGACATATCCACCCTGGCCGAGGAGCTAGGCTTCGCACTGTCCTCGCCAGACATGGAGGAGCGGGTGGCCGGAACCAACCTGCTGTCCGCCGTGCTGGTCGCCCTGCCGCCGGATCTGCTCCAGGAGCGGCAGTTGGAGTTCCTCAGCACGTTCTACATGGACCGCCTTCGGGACCACCACAACGTGATGCCGGCCATCATTGACGGTATCGATGCCTTGGTCCACATGAAGGCTCTGCCGCCCGCCCTGGTTCCCCAGATCCTGCAGTCCTTCTTCGAGCACACCACCTGCCAGTCGCAGACGCGTGGCGACCGCACCAAGTTGTTCAACATCTTCAAGTACCTGACGATCAACTTCAAGGAGGGTGAGGTCTTAGTTTCTACCCGATGGCAGGCATTTGGGGCTTTTTCGATTTCATCATAACAATGCTTTTTAGCTGCATTGCAACCTTTTGTTCAAATACGCAGACAGAAGCATTTAGTTTTCTGCTAACTTGCTTATTCGAAGCAACATTTGGTTTAAAACAGACATAATTTAAAGCACTAAAGCTGAATTTTATTATATCATATTAATTCAATTTTACTACAGCAGAAATTAATTTAATTGATATAAACGTTTGATAACACAAGTTACTAGTATTATGCCTTCATAACTATACTTTTTACGCCCATATCCATATCTTAAATATTAAGCTTAAAGAGTCATGGTTCTTTTCCATAAGTGATAAGTTTTAGTCATGCAAAAATGAAGGCGCAAATTGATTAAGCTTGTCAGAGCATTAAAAGCTTTTTATATTATTTAGTTATATGTTTTTAATATTAAAATAGTGGATGAAATTTAAAGGTGCTTTTGTAAGCTTTAATGCCGTGCAACTCAGCTTGGTTAAGTTTTAAATTAATCCAAATTGTTCTTTCTTTTAGAGCTCCAGACGATGGCCGGTGACTTTGTGTACGGCCTGATAAACTCTATTGACGGCGAGCGTGATCCCCGTAACCTTGACATCATATTCAGCTTTATGCCCGAATTCTTGTCCACGTATCCGCTGCTTCATTTGGCCGAAGAGATGTTCGAGATCTTCGCTTGCTACTTCCCATTAGACTTTAATCCCAGTAAGCAGGATCCGGCGTCCATAACACGCGATGGACTGGCAGCGAAGTTGACCAATTGCCTGGTGGGCAACAATGAATTCGCGGAGGGTGCAGTGGTTCTAGCCACAGAGAAGCTGGAGAGTGAGCTGCTGGTAGCCAAACTGGACTCCATAGAGCTGCTGGCAAGAGAAATTAAGATTTTAAATCTCCTAAACTTATTAATAGTTATTTTTCTTTCAGCACCAAGCTGCCCTGAAGTTCCCACCCTCTGTTTTGGAGCCGCACTTCGATCAGATCTGGCAGGCTCTGAAGACAGAGACTTTTCCGGGAAACGACAATGAGGAGATCCTCAAGGCCTCCCTCAAGGCTTTGTCTGCGCTCCTGGAGAGAGCTGCCCACTTACCGGACATAAGCCACAGCTACCAGAGCTCTATCCTGGGCGTAATCCTGCCACATCTCAGCGATGTCAATCAGCGTCTGTTTCATCCTGCCAGCGGCATCGCCTTGGTTTGTGTAGCTGGAGATGCACAGTACGCAGCGGACAAGATCCTCAACAGCTTTCTGCTGAAGCTGCAGGCCACAGATGTAGTGGCCGAACAGCGGATCAAGATCTATCACATAGTTAGCCAGGTCTATAAGCTGTGCGCATTGCGTGATTCTCTGCAAAAATTGGACACAACGATACGTGAATCGCTGCAGGACGATGTCATCGCCTCGTTGCGACTAATCGAACAGGATGATTTCGATGCCAAGCAGGAGGATTTGGAATTGCAAAAGGCGGCCCTCTCTGTGCTCAACGAAAGCGCTCCGGTTCTCAGTGAGAAACAGCGTGCCTTAGTGTACAAAGCACTGGTTCAGCTCATAAGCCATCCGTCCATCGATCTGGATTTCACCATACTAACAGTCAGCTTGGGAGCCCTGCAACCGGTGGAAGTGCAGTCAAACTTTATCGATGTCTGCGTGCGAAACTTCGATATCTTCTCCAACTTTGTGAAGCGCAAGATTTATGCCAATTTGTTGCCCCTTCTGCCGCAGATGGCGTTCAGTCAGCGCATTTTGGATTTGGTAATGACCCAGTCGTTCAACAACACAACCCCAGAGCCCATTCGCCTGCTGGCCCTCGAGGCATTGAACAAACTGCTCCTCCTGGGAGATCAGCGCTTCGTTGTGGACCTGCAGCAAGAGTCCAATCTGCTGCACAAGCTCATTGAACTGGGCCAGCACACGGAGGATCTGTCACTGGAGTCGTTGGAGCAGATTGCGGGAGCATTGAGTCGTATCACCCAACAACTGCCACTCTCCGAACAGAGTGCGATTGTTAGCGAGTACCTTCCGGGACTCAACCTAACCAAGTCGGCGGATTTGTACATTACCAAGGGCCTGCTCGGCTACCTGCACAAAGACATCGCTCTGGACGATCACTTCGACCGACTGCTCACCGACTTAACCCAGCTCTCTCTCAGCACGGACAATGAGCAGCTGCGTGTGATTGCTCATCATCTGCTCTGCAGCATGGTAAACAAAATGGAGAGCAATCCAGCGAACTTGGGGAAGGTCAAGAAGATTACGCAGCAGCTTAAGGCTGCCATCAAGAAAGGCGATGTGCGGGCGGTGGAGATCCTGGCCTGGATGGCGAAGGGTCTGGTGGTCGCGGGATTCGATGAGGCTGCCGAAATTGTTGGCGATGTAATCATTAGTTTTACTATGCGCTCGGAGTGGAAGAAAATAATGAAATTTCCCCTTGTTTTTCAGCTCTCTGATCTTCTCAAGCATCCCAATTTGAGCACTGCCGCCGCCCTGGGATTCGACATCATTGCCGCCGAGTATCCGGAACTGGATTTGCCTGTGATTAAGTTCCTGTACAAGCAAAAGCTCTTCCACACAATCATGGGCAAGATGGGCAGCAAGCTGGCCGACTACTGTGTGCACCACCTGAAGGCTTTCGTCTTTGTCCTAAAGGCCACACCGCAGGCGGTGATTAAGCTGAACATCGAGCAGTTGGGTCCGCTGCTGTTCAAGAGTTTGGAGGAGCACAACGAGGCGCAGTCGCTCTGCATTGCGCTGGGCATTTGTGAAAAGTTTGTGGCGCAGCAGGACGCGTACTTCCAGGGGCACTTGGCTCATCTCATCCCCAGCTGCCTGGAGCTATCCAAATATAAGGCGCAGCACACAATGGTAAGTGCTTTGAAGGGATGGCAGACTATATCCAGTTTCTCAATTACTAAATTGCTGGGGATCTTATTTCTAAATTTTTTCAGTTAAAATATGGTTGAAATTTTATCTTAAGAAAGTCATACTATAAACCCTTTCTATTAAATGTGTTCATTTTTTCTTACAGCAAGTTCGCATTGCTGCGCTGCAGTTGCTCTACGACATTACCAAGTATCCCACCTTCGTCCTGTTGCCCCACAAAGTGGATGTTACTCTGGCCCTGGCCGCTGCCCTGGATGATCCCAAGCGACTGGTGCGCAACACGGCGGTCAAGGCCAGGAATGCCTGGTACCTGGTTGGAGCAGCTAGTGGGGATTAGCCAAGGAACAATTGCATTCTTGTTAATACTTTAAAGCCAATAAGCGAACGCACATATTCTAGGATCCATAATCATAATGTTGTGGTTGTTTTTTTAATTAAGGTTTGAGAAAAATCTTGAAGGCGGATGTTGATTTGGAAAAATACTGGACAAATGCCTAAAGATATTAGGGAAATAAACGTGATATGATATCCGTTTTATATAATTAAATGCAGCCTTATTATATCATTTGTAGATGTCACATTTAGGGACAGGATGGTTTGCAATTTCAAAACATTTTATTTTCTATAAAAGAACAACATAAAAACTTAAGACGCGTTTTTGTCAAAACTACGCTTTTTAAATCGGTTTAAAAAATTCCGACCGACTACCGCTTTCGAATAAATTATAGGCATTTACCGTGTAAAAAACTTGAATGTTGATATTCACTCAGGAATGAGAAAAAATCGTTTAAATCTGTTTTTTTTTTTTGAGACTCGAAAACCGAATCCTGCCCTCTTAAGAAACCTGCCCGTGATAACCGAAATCTCGGAAACTATGGGAAAAATCCTACTTTTAATGATTCAGAAAAGTATTTGGGCTACAGACATATTTTAGTTTGATTAAAGGTTAGCTTTTATATATTTTTTCGACGCAATCCAGGCAAAGTTATTAAGCATATTAAATATATTGCGTAACAGGGTGGAAAGTATCTACAAATTCATAGTCGGGTTGCTTGACCAATAATATCTTTCTTCATTTAAAAAAAAATACTTAAGAGATTCACTTTTAAATCACTTTTATAGATTGTATTAACCATAGTAATCCAACATGATTTTCTTAAGATGTATTCATATTTTCGATTTGAAGATGGGCCATGGGTTACATTTCGGTATTGATCATTAGAGTCCTGCAAGTCCTGCCTCTGATTAGTAGGGGTGTTCGCACTGGGAGCGGGCCATTAGAGCGCACTTCTGAGCCCGCTGCACCACCTCGGGACATCGACGCCTTCTCATGAAACGGCAGTCTTGGAAGAAGCCCTCGTTCCTGGGAAAACCGTGCGTGAAGTCCTGGAACGTCAATAGTCCCAGGCCCCAGATCTTGCCGCCACGAAACTCGCCCTCGTACTTCATGCCATCAGCCCGCCAGAAAATCCCATTGCCGTGGAACCATCCCTGATGAAATTCGCCCTCGTATCTGGCTTGGAGAAAGAGTGAATTTTATGTTATATTGATTATTTTCCTCATGGATGCAAACCCACTTTTAAACACCGAACTTTCTATTGAACCTATATGTAAAATTTAATTGCTCCATTTGGATGTTAAATGTTTGTTAAAAACAAAGATTTGTTGATGTCTAAATTCTAAAAGGGTTTGCATCCTTGGTATTTTGGAAACTGACTTGGCGCCATCCGCAAACCAGAGGCAGCCCACTCCTTGGCTGAGACCCTCCTGGAACTGGCCATCGTATCGGGTGCCATCGGCAAACTGCAGATGACCGATGCCGTGCTTCTGTCCGCGCTGGTTCCACTCGCCGATGTAGCGACTCGCATCCTCGTACCGCCACCCGCCCACTTTCACCGCCCCCGCGCTGTACTGGCTCTGTTGGTGGTGTCCATGTTGCTGCTGCTGCTGATGATGATGATGTTGGTTCTCGATTCGGGCCGTGGTCACGCCCACGCTGCTCACTGGGAGATGGGCATGGATTGGAGATTAACGGTGACATACATCCTTTTGTTCCCGGGCTCACTTACTATCATCATCGTAGTCGTCCATGGCCATTGCTCCGTTCACCGCTGGCGATGCGCTTCAAGCTGCTACTGAGCTACTGAGCATGTTCCACACCAGAAACGCACACTTTGTGTGGCTTCCAACGGGGCGACGTCCCTGGGGTAAATCTAATTAGCATATTGCACTGCTGCACAGTGCGGTTGGGTTTCGCATATCAACGATGTATCACAAAAATGAAGAGCATAGCATAGCAATATCTACTGACTTGTGCTTAATTATGACCCACTGTGCCACAACGACCAACTGTTGCTGTGACCAAGGCTGGCTGGCATCGATTGAAAACCCATATGTGAATATCTAAGATTTAATTCTTGTACAATTTATTGTTATTTCAATTGAAAGCAGAATATGTGAATGCAGATTTTTGTCGTGAGATTACAAATGTCCGAAATGATTATACGTTTAGACGAAGCTCTAAAAACTAACAATTGAAGAAATGCAATTGAAACGGAATTGTACACAAAGTTGCTGTCTGAAGTATAATATTAACCTAGATATAGTCGTATGTACTTGTATGTAGATTAGATGGACTCGAATCGAGTCTAGGCGAGCACAGCTGAAGTGGCCATCTCACTGACGCCGCAGGTGTTGTCGCCGCGGTAGACGCGATAGTAGCCCTGCTCTCCCCAGCGCGGACCCCACGAGTTCTTCACGATCCAGTAGGGCAGGGTCTTGTGGAAATTGGGATAATCGGAGACGCCATAGCCCACAACCAGCACTCCGTGGTCGAGGTTCTTCTTGGAGCACAGCGTCTTCCACGGATGTGAGACGCCGCCGCGATAGAACTGCATAGCGTTGGCATTGATGCCTAATACAAAGATCAATTGGTTAGTTTGGACTTTCGGCATAAACTAAACATTGCCTTACCGATCGAGATGGGTCCATTGGTGAGCAGCCATTCCTGCATGGCCGTCTCGTTGCCCTTGGGCAGATCCACAAAACCAGAGACCTGAACGTGCGACAAAGTCTTGTTGAAGTGGCACTGATTCTTATTCGCCTTGTAGGGATACTCGGCCTCGTACTCCAGGCCGCCAATGTCCTTGATGGCTCTGTGGGTGGAATAACAATTATAATGGTGGGCTGAAAGAGGTCTTCGCAACCCTTCGCAACTCACTTGTAGGCATTGTCCATGAGGCCACCGTGGCAGGCACTGTCCGTGGTATCACAGTCGAGCAGCTCCTGCTCGGAGAACTCCTTCAGTTCGCCGTATTTCACGGCATACAGACCTTCGATGTTGCCCGTCACACTGAAGGCCCAGCAAGAGCCGCACGAGCCCTGGTTCTTCACCTGGGTGACGGCATTCTTGTGCCGCCAGTCGAACTCCTTGGGCAGTTCACCGGCGTAGGCCGGCACCACAGCCGCAGATCCACCAGTAGATTTGGCCTCATCACGCTGCCACAGGCCCGTGCGTTCCTTGTACTCCGAGCTGGTCATGTCGGCGAACTCCGTGATGCCGTACTTGGCGCTGCCCATCTCGTTGGCATTCAGCTCAGCGATGGTCTTCATGTTCTGGCGGAAAATGCGCAGACGCATCTGACGTTCGGCGGTGCTCACGTAGCGGCGGCCAAAACGCACCTGGAACTTGTGGAACAGATGCTCAACCTTGTCCAGCGACCGGTGGCTGTGCTTCTTATGCGTCTTCTTCTCGGCCCACTCCACGGATCGGCTGTGACGGGCCTGCACCACCGGCTGGTTGCGGCACTTGAAGGTGATTTCATTGTTCGCCAGCCAGGGTTGCGACCAGATCTCCACGATGCAGCGATGCTGCGAGTGCGATCCATCGATCAGGTCGGCATCGATGCGGGTCAAGGTGCCCGACACAACCCGCCGCGAAGCTGAGTAAACTTTCACTATTCTGAAAGGCAATAAACTAATTAGTCTGATATACTTAAATTCTTTAAAATCCAAGTGGATCTAGGTGTTATAAGTCATTCGTATTCAAACGATATGCAGTTTTTCAAGTCGTAATATTTTTTGAAGAACTTAAATAACATTCAAAATGCAAAATCTTCTTACTTGTAATGTGGTCCCTCTCCGGCGGTAAGTTTGTCGAGGGACTGCTGCAGTTGCGCCTTTGCCGCCTCCTCATCATAAGGCTTATGCTCGCCCAGGGGAATGTCGTTCAAGCTGCGTCTGCTGCGAAGCACCTGCAACAATATGGATGTTTGGAAAAATAAAGTCAAGTTCTCTTATAATAAGAAAACGGCAGTTTTTAAAAACAAGCGGTTTGGCTATTCATTATACCCGTTACTCGAAGTGTTAAAGATTGAAAAGTATGTTAAAAGGTATAAAGAGGCGTTTCCGACAGCGTTAAGTATATATATTCTTGACCAGGATCAGTAGCCAAGTCCATCTATCTATCGGTAGACGCAAATTTTTAAAACCGATTTATTATTTTAGAAATTATATAGTTATTAACTCCTCTCTCGCCGCTCTGCCGTCACTCTGCCGCTGATCGACCGAGACATCGCTGACTCTTTTAGCTTCAAGTGTTGGCCATGCAGCTCGACAGATGGCATCCGTTACCGTTGTGGGGAAATATTTTGCTTAACTTATGTTTGCTGAGTAACGGGTATCTGATAGTCGGGAAACTCGACTAAAGTGTTCTTTCTTATTTTTAGTTGCTGTTTTTTAGCCCCAACCAACCGTCACCGCAAAATGCAATCAAAATATCCTTATTTTTTTTAATAATTTTATATATTTTTTTAAATCAAATACTATACTATACTTAATTAATTGGAAGCTACGAATTTGGCACTAACTATTTCAAAAACGGGACAAACTTGCATGAATCAGGGACACCAATTGTTTTAGGTGCTAAATATTAAAAGTAAAGTAACAGAAAAAAACCCATATCTATAAATTTGGAAACATGTTTAATTTAGATATAATTTATTGTTACATTTTTAATTCTCAAATATATACTTTAAAATCGCAGTTTTAAAAATAAAATTTTTTACATAAACTAAGCTTGAGAGATTCGTCCAGAATTTCTTTTTTTTTTTAATTTATCAATCAATAGTGGACTTTAATTTTTTTATAGTTTCCTTGGTCCGTCCAGTTAGAGTATCCGACTCCGATTCAGCGGGTACAGACTGAAATTTGGATAGTTTGTTTCTGTGGGAGAAGCAACCTCATTACATTTTCAAGGGGGGGAGCTCTTCTACTATACGAACCAACCTTGTTAGATATTCAAACTCCCTAAACGCGAACCGCAAAAAGCACACCCAAACGGGCAACTAACTAACCAACTAACTAAGGGATAAGGCACAGCCAAAAGCGCGTCACCAGAACGGAAAACGGAACGGAGTTGGGGATCAGGAATCAGAGGCCGCATTCAAAAGGCAGGATGTAGTCGTCGAGCAGGCGCACACGGCGAAGCCCGCCTTGGGAGTCGACGCCCACCTCGCCGCCACTGGCTACCACCTGCTGCTCAACCTTGAGGTCATCCTCCTCCTCCCTCAGCTCCACCTGATTGCGTTGCACCACCAACATGCAAGCTGCTACAGCCGCCTCCTGGCGCAGCCAACCCGACATGATCCAAATGCGGCGAATGCAGGTAGACAGCGCAAATTGCTTCATCGTGAAAAGAATCTACAACCGTTAGAGATTGAGTGAGATTTTGAACAAACGATTAACTTTTAACGCACCTTAAAAAAATATTAGAAAAAGTATTTGGTATAGCCGCTTCAGTTGGAGTTTACCGAGTGATATCAAGTGAAATTTGGAATAGGACTCTCGTTCGGGAGTGACAACTTTGGTCCAGACCTACTTGGACTTTTATTTTTATATTTTTGATTTTAGATATATAATAACAAGCCATAAAGAGTTTACAATTAAAGTTTTGCTGTTTTTCTCCCAACTTTAACTCTAATTTCGCTATACCAAATAGTTGTTCTTATATTTTTAAGTGAGTAAATAGTTAATAGTACTTCAAAATCATACTTAATCTATATTGTAATGGAATCGTTTTACAATGGAGCATTTCTTTTTTTCTCTGATGGTGATCAAAAAGATGTTATTAAACCTATGTTTAATAATAAAACATTTTTATGAAATGTTACCATAAGTCAATACTTATAATTTTAGTATAGTATTTCAAACATTTTTTTTTACTACAATACGATGTTTTTAGTTTTTTGTGTTCAATTAGTAGAGCAAACAAATAGATTGCACTAAATTTTTGGAATATTCTGAACCAAAAACGAACCCCACAGCAATGTAAATCTCAAACGAAATCAGCCCTTTGTATGCAGTCTGAGAGTTCGTTAATCTTGTGATAATTACGCAACAAGGAAACACTTATCCATTACAAACAGACACGCAGCTGTCACCACATCAGACCTCCGACCCTAAAAAGAGTGGCGATGCGGGACTGACACATAAATTACATACGAATGCAAATGAAACAAGGACATGTCTGAATTTACATTACCGAAATTGACAGAACGACACATACACACTGGTACACGTGGCTGAAAGAGTTGTGGCAAGAAAACAAGAAGGCCCGAAAGGCATCGCCTCACCAGTTGTGGAATAGGACAACAATAATACCGACAGACACATGTGGCCCATAAACCATTCAATGCCGAACACAAAACCAATTAAACCAAACATTTTGGCTGGATATTCGTTTGCCGGCTGGCATCGATGATGGTGATATGTTGATGCCGTTGATGGGAGTTGGTTTCTGGGGATCTGGATCCGGGGCCGCAGTCCCAGCCAGGAGCCAAATGTCTGCTCCTGCTGACGCAGCCAGACTTCTGACATGGCGACTGCAGGTGGAGTCACACTCAAAACATTTTATGGCTCACAAAGGCTCGAAAAGCACATAAAATGAGGAAAAACCTCCAAAATATTGTGTATTTGGGGGGTGGATTAAAAATCTGTGTACAGTAGCGCAAACGTCTATATAAATCATAATAAATATTTTCTTTTATAAAGAAATTTTAGTTTCTCTAATATTGTTTCATGTTAAGAGCTACGCTTATAAAATTTATAGATAATCGAATTTCAGTTACGGCTAACACTGAATGTATTTCAATTGAAGAGTTTATCCTAAAAGACTTTTATTTCCTAGAAAGGTGACAAAAATACCTTTATGTAAAAGGTCAAAAAATAAAACCAGTTTTACAAATTTCCTCCAAAAGTGTACATATATTTAAAACAAGAGAGTTAAACATTTGTATCATGTTTCACGTAGAACCCATCATAACATAATTTTCTCAATGTAAATTATACTGTGTTTTTAAATTGCAATATTGGCTGGAATTGGAATACTACAGTAGGTTTAAATACTCATATATGGGGAAATAAGAAAAGTTTTACTATTAACGATTAGTTTGACATATAAGTTTAAAAAACTGTAGTGCAAGCTTCTAAATATTCTGCAGTAAATTGCATACCAAATTTTAAATGCAGTCAAACGATTTTTCGAGTGCAGGTCATCTAGCTACGACAACAATACCGATAGGAATGTAATGGCTACGACGTGTGTATAATTAAAAATACGGGCAGCACAAAAAGAATGAGCAGCCGATGGGAGGTCCAGGCGGCCATCCTTTTCGATGTGTGGTGCAGCCTGTGTTCGAACATGAATTCATTAAGCCGCCTGCCCGCCACTCCCCTTTTTTACAGCCCCGATTCTGCAACCCGGGCCTACTATCCAACTATCCAATGCAGCCCACCTCAACCCCTTCAATACCGCAACACCCAACTGGGAGCTGTTAATTTAAATGCGTATTTCAATAAGAATTATAACGTAAATGATGTTTCAACGACCCTGGGGCACGGGGCACGGGGCACAGTGGGTGGCCTCTCTGGAAAGGGAGGTGTGTGCAATGGTCCGTGAAATCCATTTGGATACATTGACAGTCGAGTGCTGAACTCGGCTCTATACTTTCTGACAGTTGGCGTAAATCAGCAATTGCAACTGAATGGTTCTCATTTCCAAAGCACTTAATTAATTTATTCTGCGATGATTTTTACAAGAGCTCATTGGGCAACTCATATGGGCTGGAAATAATATGGGGATAGAGATTTCCAATTGTTGAACATGTCCAAAACAGATTGAGTTGAATTATTACCATTAAAATTTCATATATTCTCTCATCGCTTATAAAGTGTGGTTTTAAGCTTTTTTGAAATGGAGTTACAAAAGGTCTGATTAAATATATAAATGCAGCGTCATTATTGAAATTTTGAAATCTTTATGACTAAAAGATAAATGTAAAAAATTGGAGATTTCAATAGACAAATAATAATTTAAGTAAGAATAACATATTTGTTGGTATGCCTCAAGTTATTGATTGATTTTTAATAAATAAAGGAATATTTAATTTTATAATTCTAATTTAAATATAAAAAACATCCAACAATTGTTAAAACGAATACAGAAAGTGGCTAACATATTTGATTTCAAAAGAATTGTACGTTATTTTAAAGGCTTTCACATGGAAAGGCAATTTCTAAAGTAGCATCCCAAACCATTGAAGTTGCAGATTCTGTCATTGATTATTTAACCTCTTATGCTCTCTGGGTTAAGTCGGGCGGAAAATGCCCACCCCCGGAGACAAATCGCCTTCGACCCACTGTACGTGGCACCACAGAGTCAACCGCTGTAAAAAGTAGAGCACAAGGATAATGAGAACACTTGGCTCGCACTCTCTGTGTGTTTCTGCTGCCGTCGACACCGTGGGCATCGCACGGCGAGGAGGAGGAGGAAGAGGAGGATGGGAGCTCCACATCCTCACCCACTTAACCTCTCACATATATAGCGGCACTTGGGATCCCCCCCCAAGACATATAGACAGGCCCAGATGGCCCCTCCCTAGGGGCTGCGAACACGGCCAAGATACGGCCGGGTTAAACAGATTGCGGCCGTAATTTGAGAGCGGAAACTCATTTGATTATTAAGGTGAAATAAGTGTTTTGCGGGGATGCCAAGCGGGGAATCCTCCAAACGAACCCTCTTCCTCCCTATCATCACCACATCCGCATCAGGTGAAAAGGCAAGCTTAAATAAATTCAATTAAATAACATTTTCCTTTTTTATTGTTCGCATTAAGGTGTAGTATGTATTATATAAAAGAGTATTTATGTGTAAAGGACATAGACAGTGGGGGATGATGATTGGTGTGTGTGTGTGTGGGTGTGTGTTGGGATGATAATAAGGATATTCACGATGACGATGATGTTGGTAAAGTACTAGTAGTAGTAGTAGTAGCCTCCACCTCAGGGTCCTTTTGCTCCGGAACGGTCTCCTCCTGCTCCTGCTGCTGCTCCTTCTCTTGGTTCTTTTCGAAATTATACGCACCCACCGATAGGAAATCGTCGAGCCAACGCTTCTCATTATCGTTCAGCTCTGTGGCGACTGTGGTGGAGGTTAGACCCTCCTCTTCAACCTCCACCTGCCCCGCATTTTTTTCCTTTTCCGCCTCATCAATGCTAATTGCCGGGGCGCTCTCATTAATGGCTTCAGGTGGACTCAGCTTCGTCATCGTAATGGAAGCGTCTATGGCAACAGGAGCTGCGGAATCAACAGGAGAAGCGGCAGCAGCAGGAGCCGCAGGAGCGGACTTGGTCACACTGACCTTCCTTTTCATGGGGCCCAGGTTAGTCAGAATCTGGGACTCAAGATGGGCCATCTCGGTGTCGCTCAGCTCGTTCCTTTGACCGCCATTGAAGATGCTATTACTCACGTATTTCTCGTTGAGCAGACGTGCCTTCTCCGCCGGATCGCCGGTCAACGAGTTCTCCGCCGAATCGCTGCAATTCGAGTTGACCAGCTCGCGATGTTTGTCACCCCATTGGGTGCGCAGCCAGGGTTTCTCCAGGATGACCAGCCGACAGATGGTGTCCGCCTCCGTCGGTTGCTTCGCCTTCGTGTCAACCGCGTTCAGCAGGATCTCGTAGCGCACTCCGGCGGTTATCTCCCGGTAGGCATCGATAACGTTCACAAAGTTCATCGACAGCGGCAAGAAGGTCATGGCTATGTTCTGAACGCCAATCAGGTTGGGTGACAGATACTCCCGCTCCCCGGGATTCAAGACATGGATCAGCTTGATCGGCGGTTCGGTCACCGCCTGGTCCGCAGACGTTTCTGTAGTTGCGGCGCTCTATTGTTTCGGATTTCGGGGATTTTACGGTTTGGGATGTTTGAGGATTGGTGTGTGTGTGTGTGTGTGTTGTGGGGAAAGACGAAACAGAAAGCAAAACACATATGAGGATACACACACAAAAGAGATTTTGGTCGCCGCCGACATTTGTGATCCGGATACCGGGTGTTGTTGTGGTTGGCATGTGTGATGTTTGAATGGAGCAAGCAAAGCGGTGTGGTTATTGTGTAATTATGCGATACAGTGCAAACAACCTTAATCCACTTGACATACATGGTTAATGCCACAAATTATATTTGCCAGTGCGCTATTATGCTTTCCGGATTACGCTAACAATAGTTAACAGTCAAACACAATTATTAAATCAATTGTGGAACATACAGGATAAACAATTATGTTTTTACCACTTGAACTTAACTAAACTAAAGTTTACTTTTATCGAGTTTTTAATTTATTTGAAAAAGTCTTAAATGATTATAAACTACTGTGTCAATTAAATTTAGTCTACCTAAAATGATGAGTTTGCCATTTATGGGTAAAATTAAAAACAATTACAATTAGTGACTCATAATGCGAAGGAATTAAAGATAAATATTATTAAATGTATTATTTTTAGCATGGCCGATTAAATTATTAAATGAAATATTATACCCAACCCATGCACTGT